TTGTAAGGCTCACATAAAAACTCTAGAACAAGAACTAGAAAAAATAAAGCATTTTGTTGCTTGATATAATCTGTTTTCTGATTGTTTTTCAGGAACAAAAGACCATTGATGGGCCCTACAAGTTTTATATAACTTGTTTACTAATGTTTCTTTTGCAGGAACAAGAAATCCAATGATGGATTCTACACACAAAGGGAAAGGGCCTTTAGGTCCTAAACCCACAAAATCCCCATTTATGGTGGAAAAATACATGAAGTATGGGAAACAAGAGTTACCCATACTTACAAATTCCTACCAGTTTCCTGGTAGAGAATCTACAAATGTCAAATTAAATGTTTTAATTGACAACATTTGGAATATTCCAAAATACACAGCTCAGAATGAGCAACAAGTCGCTAAAATGAAGCAAAGCATTATTAGCGCATTATACAGTTTCTGCAATGCAGATAACAAGGAAGTTAGATTGACTTCCGCAACTTCTCCTTCTGGTAAGGGGTTTACACATTATGCCCTAGTTACGGGGCCAAACAAAGGAGTTTATACTTCATACAAAGACCTCTCTGAGGCCAAACAAGACCAGTTTTGGTCTAATTACAAAGGTTTTTATTCCAAGGAAGAAGCCCAGATGGCTTTGAAATTGGAAACCATAAATGAAGAAAAAATAAAAGCGGCCATTTTGCTTGAACCAAAGGCCCAAACACTAACCTACGCAGGAGCCTGTTGTCTTCCTACCCAGGTTAACCCAAACATCTTTTTAGCCAAGTTTGGGGTGATACAAGAATTTCTGTTTGAAGTTCACTCCGAAGCCCAAAATCCTAATGGGCTTACTGTCAAAACACAGACTTACTTTAACACTAGGAACCCTTGTTTAGGATCCTCGGAATACTGTAAAACAGTATCCACAAAATGTACATGTCAGTTAAAGTTTGTCATCCGAAGGGCACAAATTGATTTGTCCACCTTCAAAAACCAACTTTATCGAGAGCTTCTGATAAGCCCTCAACTTCTGTTAGAAGCCGGATGTCTTCAAGATATTACCATCCCTCCTACAGAAAGATTTCATTCATTAACCCCAGAAATAAACTCTGTGGTAAATGAAATACAAGCCGAGCATATGATGAGTGTGCTCTTAAAAATTACTTCTTCTCCAAGAAGTCCAAACTCTCTTGACAGCATGGCAAAACATGTTGTTAAGTTATACACAGAGGTAAACCCTGAGATGCGTACCTCTATAGAGCAAGATCCTTTTCAGGGACTTACTCTAAACAAAGATAAGTTTTACCAATATCAGCTTTGGAAAGCTTTTGTAGAAGGATCTAACTGGAATTTCTCTAAAAAGGATATTTCAGATTTTATTCTTCTCAAAGAAACTGCTGATACCAAGCTCTATTGGAAACAGCTTATGGGAAACAAGTTTCATCCTTTCCCAACTGAAGACAGTCCCATTCTGGTAGAACACTTCAAAAGAGAAAGGATTCTCAAAGAAATTTATGAAGAAACTGGAATCCATGGACAAGGAACCCCAGGAGCTTCATTTCCCTCTGATGATGAGGAAGTAAACTTTGTTGACCAAATGGTTGAAGAAGGACTTGAAGACATGTCTTCTGTGTCAGTTTCTAGAAGACATTCTTAAAATTTCAAACGGCGGAACTGTACAAATCCCGCCTCCCCACAACCAATGAGTCTTTCTGATAAAGACGAATTTACCCTCGAAGATTTCGAAGAACTCCTAATGGCGTAATCTCCCACGTCATTAGACACACAAAGACCATATTGCCCTTGAAGGTTTCGAGGAGCTTCGCATGACGTAAGCCCTTACGTCATACACAGCTGTATCAAAAGACGACAAAGGTTAATGGCAGATAATGATATCTTGCTACCTTGTCACGATTCCTCTTCCGTTACATGTTGTTAGGCCCATTAAGCCTTGCATGTTAATGACGGTAAGATTGAATCAGTCTTTTGATAAAATGTAAAAAAAAAAAAAAAATTTGAATGAATGTCACTATTTTTGTCTTGTAGTGACGTTACTATTTTTGTTTTGTTTTTAGTGAGGAAGTTTTCTCCGTAGGATTACTTCTTTGCTAAGTTTTGAGATCCAAAGTGGGTCCCACATGTAAATTACTATTCATTAGTTTAATATTTTTGTTTTTCTATATATGGCTTCGTAAGTCCCTTATGCTGGGCAGAAGTTTTCTACTTCCCCTCTCTCTCCTCCCTCTCTTCTCCTCCTTCTCTCTACTTCTCCCCCGCTTATGTAAATTTCTTACTATCAATAAGAGAAGTTATTCAGCATCTCCCCTCTCCTTCTCCTTCTCTTCCCCCAAGTAAGTGCTTTCTGCTCCCCCTTTATGGAGTAGTTTTCTTATAAGGGCGTCCTCGGATGCCTTAAGCTTTATTTATTTAAAGATGCGATAATCATTTAAAGGTGAAAATATCCAAAAATAAATCACATTAAATTAAAACCATATTAAATTAAATTCAAAATACATTTTATCAACACACATCTAACTTTTTTTTTCTCTCCTGAAAATTTTTGTAGAAAAATTTCTTAGAAATACCCAAAAACTACTTTACTTAGCTTTTTTTTTTTTTTACAACTCTATTTCTTCTAGTTTAGTGTGCAAGTAAGGGCCTCTAAAAAATTGATATTTGTAGTGTTTTTTTATTTTTCTTTTCTTTTGTGTCACACTTTCAATATGAAACGTGTAACCTATTTAAAACTTGTGTGATACTTTTCCAATAGGTTTTGAAAACTAAAGTTTTTACATTTACCTAACTATTTAACCCTTCTTCAATACTCTGTTTTTTTAGGTTCGATATTTTATCTTTACAACTGTTTTTGCATTATTAAACTCATCTTTCTAAATTATATTAATTATTTAGCAAACTAATATTCGATAAAATAAGATAGTAAAAAATACTAGAGATTTTAAGAACAATAGCAAAAATAATATTGTTTTATTTTTATATTTATTATTTGATTTTTTATTGTATTATTTTTCACTAAATATATTCTCAAAGTTAATGTTCAACACTTCAGGCTTAATTATTCTCAATTTTCTTTTGTCTTCAATATAACTAACTAACGAAGTGTATATACAAGTGTTTATTCAAATTAAGCCATCATGTTGAAAATAAGATCGACGAGTGAATTCTTAGTAACTTGGTTTTTCGCCTGGTCTAATGGTTAATACTAAGCGTTTAGCGTTAAAATTTAACACTTATTTCTAATAATAAAAGAATAATTTTTTTATATATTTTTTAAAATATATAAATAGATATATTCAATAAACATTAAAATTGAAATTAAAATCACAAATATTTTAAGAGCATAAATCTCGCACCATTCACTAGGATCAAAGATATTGCAATATTTGTCACAACTAATGAATTCAAATAATTAAGATTGCTTCTTCAATTTAAGTAGAGAAAACAACTTGAAGCATCAACATTTTGAATTTATTAAAGAAGTTATTTGTTTCTCTTATCAAAGAATATTCCGTCCAACGCGGGTATTACTCAGTTGGTTCCCTTTTATCCATTTCTTAGTAAAATTAGTTAATTGAAAATAATTTAATAAACTGATTGCTGTGTAAGACATGAACGAGCCTAAAGTTTCGAATATATCTTCCATTTTTCTTTATAACTTCAGAAATAACTTCATGCGGGGTTATGTTATGATTAATGATTTATTCTTTGTTAAAAATTGAAGCGTTTCTGTAATTTTTATTTCCCCTTTCTTTCTTTTCCATTTGCGTTGATGGCAAAGTACAAGGAAAACCTGTTTGATTAGAACCTCGTGCACCTGGTTACAATAACTGATGCATGTGAAGCACTGTTAAATAACACTTGATGTCAATTCTTATGTTTGTATGAAAATTTTTTACAAGAGAATTGATTCTTTTTAGTATTTAAAATTATTTATAGTGAAATGTAAATTTTAGATTAATTTTTTTGATGAATTGTTATGATTACTTAAAATTGCAAGACTTCAAATTCAACTGAAATTGTTGAAACTAGGTTGGTAGCTTTGAATAACTCATTTTGCTACTCCTAATTTAAATAACATAATCAAACCTTTCCAGTTGCTGTGTTGTTTCTGAGCAGTAGAGAGTGAGATAATGATTTACAATGATGGAATATGACATCATAATTTTCCAAAGAAACTCGGCCACACAGGACAGTGGTCCACAAAAGAAGCACAATGCAAGTTAGCATGATGTTGCCATTTCTCTGGTAAAAAAAGTACAAAAAAGTAGCATTCATAGAACACCAGATATTTTTGTTCTCCTTTGGGAATTTCAGAAAATCCTGCTATATGAATACAAATTCATTTCAATCATTCACACCAGGACAAATGACTGCAAATATTTTACCTTGTTAAGGTTTACTTCTGAAAGAAGACAAAGTTGATGTGGCGGAGTCAACAAAATTTTATCTCCACACCAAGTGGAATAACTATCCGTCCCAAAAAGATTTCAGTCAGTTGAAAGCAAAGATGGCCCTGCTTTAGGGGAGCAAGGGGATTTGAGAATGGACTGGACTTCATAACTAACCATGTTATGTTATATCACTTACAGTTTGGATAAAATATTTGGGTGTAACAGAGGGCAGAACCGTGTATATTTCACAGAATCATTAATTTATAACACTATATACCAAATTACATATGCAAACAGCCACATCATGACTGAAATAATAGTCAATATACAACAAATTCAATTACCAGTATATACGTAGTTGGTGAGAGGCACTACTATGTATTTCTTTATCTTTCTTTTTTCCCTGTGGCTTTGGATGAGTGAATTATGAGTTAAGTAACAGGCTGGCTATGTGTTAAAAATGATGCCAAGATCCACCTTACAGGAATATACAGTGTTGTAGAGGTGAACTCATTCTTTTTGAGATATAACTGCACTGGCTTTAGCCAAACAACGTCAAAAACTTACCTCAACTTTCACCCAACATTGGTCGCATAATAGACAACTCTCAACTGTTCAGGAACCTGTCTCCATTGGGAGGAGAGACCCTTGCTTGCCTTCTATGAAGATTGCAAGCTCTGTGGGTGCAACCACCAATCTTAACCACTTCTGTAACTCTTCACCCTCTACTTTCTCTTTTTCTGAAGAATTAGCATCAGCACCATTAGATCACCATAGCTAAGAAAAAACATAATGAACATTCGGCATGGAGTAAAGTTCAAAACCAAAAACTGCAATCTAATTCACTCATACAATTTCAATTGGTGACATAAAACAGTATACAGGTATGAACATGCTACAGATAAGACCTATTTTATAGTTAACCCCAACCTAGACATATATACTAAACATTTAATTAGGTTAGAAAATTGCAAGTTATTCAATCTTAATTTTTGACAATCAGCACAAAACAAAGCATTTCACCAATCACAACATAAATACGACCAGTACAGTTACCTTCTAAATGAGCACCCAGACCCTCCAAAACAGTAGGATTCGCTCGCACAATGGAAAGTGATACTTCCAGTGCTGACTGCAGCAATGCTTTAACCTCCCTTTGAACAAGATCAACAAGGTGTCCCTGTTTGTTTAGATTAAAATTAGCATATTACTAAAAATTGAATATGAAAAAGAAATAAGTTAATGAAATAGAGGACCTGATCCCTTCCCCAAGGAACTGATCCCCCAGATTCGTCCATTCCACCATTAGAAAGGGTGGCAATTGACACAGGGCCTATTGTCTGATTAAGACCATATTCAGCTATAGCTTTGTATGCCATGTCGGTTGCTCGGCGTATGTCATCAAGTGCACCTGTGGACACACGACCAGAATAAACAACTTCTTCTGCAGCACGTCCTCCGAGTAAGGTAACCAGGCGGCCACGCAACTCATCAATAAAAAGCAAATATCTGTCCTCATTTGTTGGAGGAGTGTAAGTAAATCCCAAAGCCCCTCCTGACCTAGGCAATATGCTTAGTTTCTGATAACATACACAAGATTGTAAGGGATGAATATCCTTTTAGATTTTCTTAATAATCAAATAAAAAACATAACAATTTTCAATACACAAGTAGGCTAAAAGTTCCAAAGAGAATTTTTCAGAGTTTTCAATTCCAAATAAACTGAAGGACAGTTGGCTCTAAGTCACAGTTAAGTACAACACTTTAACACGTGCTTTCAATAGTTTGCTAGTCTAGACAACTAAAAATCCAATTACCTAACCAGTATGATTTTCCAACTTTTCTTTTATTAATACTTAAAATTTAATGCAATTATAAATTTTGCTATCAACCCATATAACCACACTTTTAAAGTATATGCGATGACTATATCATATCTTGAAGAAATCTAGTTGAGGGAGAGTTCAATTTATCCTTCAAGAATGAATGCATTGATTCTTCAGGTTTTGTTATTCAGAACATGAATTGAGTATGACTTATATAGTAAAGTAAAAAAAAAAAACTAAGATAGAAGGCATATCACAATGAGGGTAATTAGGAGTTTATAAACATTAAAATGGATTTTAAATTAACAAACCATCGATGTCAATAACATGGAATTAACACAAATTGAAAACAATAAATAAGAACAAATAGTAAACGAAGAGTATTTTGAGGATAAAAAACTTGTAAGAGCAGAGGAACTAATGGAAGTGGCAATATGCACAACCAAAGAACAATTATGAAATTACAAAATGAAACAGAACCTTTGATGTATAGACTATTAAATATCCATCATCCATTTCTCAAAGTCCAATGAATTCTCCTAATACTTAACGTATCAAAATTAATCCAACCCTTTTTTTCAAAATTAAATCTTTCTTAAATTTACCATTTTAAAAAGTTTTCAAAAATATTTTTTCAATTTTGTTTTACCTTTCTTTAATTTCCCACCATAAAATAAGATAAACCCCTAAGTCCACACCCTAAAATTAAAAAATAATTATATAAAGCAATTTTTGTCACATGTCATCAAACAGAATATGTATGAAGAAGAAATCATCAATCAAAGTATTTTGGAATAAGCAGAATTGGAATGGTGTGACAGTTCCAAAAAATCAAGAAGGCAAGTATGCGGTTCAAGCATCATCAGCATATTTACAATGGCATAGGCATATTTAAATGGTCAAGAATAAAGTATTTTCTATGGTTCACCTCGACACGTGGCTGTCCAGGAAGAAGGCTGGCAACTGCGGTACCAACTACAGCATGACCAGCTTCATGTCGTGCAACTACAGCCTTCTCACTCCCTTTCAACTTAGCAGTCTTCTTTTCAATGCCCTGAAACAATTTACTTTTCCATTTTATCCATCCAGAATAGAAAAACTAAGGTCATATTTACAAAACTAAAATTTTCAATTTAACTTCTGTTATTGACATCCAAATCCAACCAGACCGCTGCTGTATAAAGTGAAAATGTGCATCCGCCAAGATTTCAAGAGACATTGTAACTTACTGCTATTGATCTTTCAACAGCTTGAATGAAATCATTTTTCTCCACAATAATCTTGTTCTGTCTTCCCGCCAATAAAGCAGCCTCATTTACTAGGTTTGCAAGATCCGCTCTTAAATGATGTGTACCATGTGTCAGATCAAAATTTCATCTTCTAAATATTTAAAAAAAAAAAAAAGTATTAAGGAAACAGAATAATTACCCTGTAAAACCAGTGGTCATACAAGCAATGTCACCAAGGTCAACATCCTTAGCTAAAGGAAGTTCTTTCCTGGAAACATGAACTTTTAGAATAGCTTCTCGTCCAATCCTATCAGGTGTTTCCACCTAATTAGAAAATGAGCATTTTTTGCTTAGTATATACCAACTCAAGGTCTTTTCGAAATCAGCATAAAAACCAAAGGAGGCTATGTATTTAACTAGAATCCAGACCATAACTACTCGATCAAATCTTCCTGGCCTTCGGAGTGCAGGGTCTAAGACATCTGCACGATTAGTTGCTCCAAGAACAATGACTGCAGAATTGCTGTCAAAACCATCCATCTCCTGCAATTCAGTTTTAAGATTAGCCATATAGTGACACAATCACCCCCCCCCCCAACCCAAACACACACACAACAATACCAGAAATTAAAAAAAATCCTTACAGTGAGCAGCTGGTTTAATGTTTGTTCTCGTTCATCATTGCTGACAATGCGAAATTTACCATCACGACTTTTAGCAACAGCATCTATCTGCACACAAAAATGAAAGTTTAATTGGTGGAATAGTAAATATTAAATCAAACATCTAAGAGAATAAAACAATACACATTCTTACCTCATCAATAAATATTATGGATGGTGCTTCTTTCTTTGCCCTTGCAAAGAGATCTCTCACACGCGAAGCACCCATACCAACATATAACTCTACAAACTCACTAGCAGAACAACTTATAAATGGTACATCAGCTTCCCCTGCCACGGCCTTTGCTAGTAAAGTCTTACCTGTCCCTGGAAGACCTACCTGTAAGATAAAACAATGGATATTTACAACCTACAAGTCAAATTAAAGCAATAATAAAATGAAAAATCACTTGGTCACAAATAACACACAATTCATATCTCATCTTTTGTATGTTAATGATCATGAAAATAAGAAAAAACATAGTCATGTAATACAGCAGAAAATTTTGCTAGATTTTAGCCAAAAATATTCCCAAAAGAAATTTCCCATATTTGATCCATTCCCAGGCAAATATCCTAAGCTACAAAGTGTTTACGGGCTAACCAACATGCACTTTCATCCTTGGATCATAAGAACATGTGTATTATTTATTGTATATCCCTAGCTAGACTCACCAAGAGAACACCTCGGGGAGGACGAGCTCCAAGTCGTATATATCTGTCAGGAGTGCGAAGAAATTCCTGGCAAGTGAACATCAGCATAAACTACTTGTCTATATCTCCAAAAAAATGAACATAAGAGGCCTGTTGTGTAATAGAAAGCATTCTATATGCCCTAAAGAATGTAAGTGCTGATGAAAGTCCAGCCTACCACAATCTCTTCTAGCTCTTCCTTAGCCTCATCAACACCAGCAACATCAGCAAATGTGATTGTTTCACCTTGTTCAGAAGACTTTGCGCCAGCAGGAGTTCCTGATTTACGATTCCTAATCTGACCAGCAGTATGCTGCACATATCCCTTCAATTTCTCAAAAATACTGTTTTAAAATGTTTAAAGAAACAGAAGAAGTTGGATAAGAAGGCCTATGAAAATAGAAATGAGTGAGGGAAAGAATTCCAGCTCACCTGAGAGAAATTAACAGGGAATCTATGGAGAAGCCCTGCAAGTAGAGCACAGTAAAACAATGCTATCTGCAAATATCAGAATGAAGTCAACAGCATGTTACCAACATCAAATTATAATCGAAGACATGTCAAAATTCAACAAATGTGAAGGTTTTTGTTATACTGTAAGATGTATCTTATGAAGCTAATATGAAGATTATCTTCTATTAATCACCTGAATTAATCAGTTCTTAAAAGTTATCATTTAAAATTCTCATGGTACAGAATCCATAGTTTTTAATTATAAATAAACCATGTAAATTATAGTTTCTTGAGCGTGATAATTTTATCAACTATACTAGTCACAGCAGATAGATATCCATTAGTCTCAGCCAGATATTAGTTGGTTGAAAAAATAAAGCATGTTTCCCTATAAATACTTCATTGAGCATCCCATATTAGTAATTATGGGACTTGGATACCTCATAATACCCTAATCCTTACAATAGCACTGTCTCTGGGAGCCAAAATGTCAGGCAGAACACACTCTACTACACTTTGCTCGGTCACACGTCACTTAACTTCTTTGTAGGTCAAAAGCCTCCACCTTTTAGAACCTCCACAGGTAGCCCTCTCTGAAACACCATCCAACTCTAATACCAGTTGATAAGATCCAAACACTTGGGGAACCCATTCTTTAAAAGCTAGTTGTTAAGTAAAGACTGTCAAAATAGGTGGCCTGGACCAGCCTAACCTAACCTTACAGGTTAAGAAAAAAAAAAAAACTCAGCCTATATTTTAATGCAAACCATAATTTTTTGCCTAACCTAAACCAATGTTAAGCTAATTCATTTTTGGTCTGATTGAAAAAAAAAAATTATAACAAGTTTATATAAAAACAATTATCAAAAAGTAAAAAATGTATTTTAGGTTATATGAATAAAATTAATTTTTAATTTTAGATATCATGATTTGACATATAAATTATCAGAGGAAAAATCCCTTCATTCTAAGTGTAACAGTTAAAAACTTATTTTTCATCCTTATCATTCATTTTTTAGCAATCCAAAATAATAATTCATCTTAATAATTAGATTATAAGAAAATCAACGGTGAAAATGGAAAAGTAAGTTCTTATTCTTAGAAGTAAGTGGATCCCTTTTCAAATTGAGAAAGGATTTATTCATTCACTCAGAGAGTTAGAGCTAGAAACTTACTCTCCATCCTCACCGTTCATTTTTTAGTACTATAAGATCTAAAATAATAATTCATCTTATCAATTAGATTACAAGAAAATCAATAGTGAAGATGAAAAGTAAATCTCTAACTTTTACTCTTAAAATAAATGGATCCTTTCTCAAATTATTATAATAAATAATGTTTTAATAAAATTATATTATTTTTATTTTTATTTAAAAAATATTTATAATTTTATAAAACAAGTCAATCCATAAATCAACAAGTTGATCTGGCCTAAGTCTATTTAGGCTACAAGCTGAACCAAAATTGATATAACTCAATTTAAACCAAAATATTTTTTTACCTAGTTTGTCTTATTTATCAAGTCTTTCAAACTAACTCATTGAACTAAACCCATTGTGAAACCCTTATTATTAAGGAAAAAAAACCTGACACGTAAATATTCCACTGACCATTCCATAGTAATCAATCCATAAGTTACCAAGTCACTATTCGAAAGGGAAGAAAGATTTCATCTTCACAATTGTTAAAGAGTCAGGGCCTTTGGCTAGTGATATGCAGTCCCTCAAAGAAGGAGCTTTAGCTTATGAGTTTATGCATAAGCTAATTTTGGCTTATGGAAAAGCTAATTTCAATTTTTTCTCTCATAGAAGGAGCCTATGGGGAATCTCATTCAAACAAACTCATAATCCAACTTGTGTGCAATAACCTACAGCCATTGAGTAATCACACAGTTTTCAGCTATTTGATATAATGATTGTAATTGGAGAAATAACCATAACTCTTATTCCTATTTCTGGTCTCAGAAGGTTTCCTTTGCACAAACAAATATATTTAGATATTAAACTTCAAACCACCAACCTCTTCCCATTCTTGAGCAAATTCAGTCTTAGGAGAAAGTACACAAATGCAATGCATAAACAGGGATACAATAAATTCAAAATATAACACAAAACATAGTTATAATGAATTAATAATACAAAAAATGAACAATACTAATCCAAAACTAACACGTCATAAAAACCTTAAATCACATGACAGAACTTATGCTTTAAAATAGTGTACGAGTAATTGTGAATAAACACATCCAACTGCTACAACTAACCTAACTATTCTTTTTTTTTTTTTTCTGGTAAAATCACACAAGTATTTTTCATGAAAGCAACCATGCTCGAGCCAAACAAACCACTATGGGCAACAAAACTCTCCCTTCGAGTATTTATATCAGCTATATACCAGTTATTAAGATATGACAAACTCTATGCCAATTGATCCGTTGGTGGGTGATACTTATCTAACTATTCCAGTTTATCAAATTGTATTGACATAAAATTATAACAATGAAAAAAAATAAAAAATGCAGCTGCAAGTATTCAATGTGTGGAAACCATGTTCCAAATACTTACCAAAGCAGAGTTGAAGAATCCACCAGACCTCTTATCCGGAGACCCAAACTGCACCTCATTTTCCATCATCTTTTCATATGGGGTCCTTATATCACTGGGCCTAGTGGTAGTGTAAACAATCTTCTTCGTAGGAGCAACACTCTTAACCAACGACTCTGACTCCAAAGTAGCAGCAGCGGCGGCGACAGCAGCGGAAGTAGCAGAAGCAACTTCAGAACCATCCACGTCAGACTTCAACTTGAACATGATGTGGACCCCGTCAACCTCCACCTTCTGCACCTGATCATCATTTATCTTGGTCAAAAACTCGCTGTAAGGCACGCTCACAAACGACGTCGCAGCCCTGGGTTCAGACCCAGGTAAGGGAATCCCTGGCCTGAGCAACCGCATCACAAAAACTACAATCCCCAACTGCAACAACAACACTCCAACCTCCTGAGCATGCACAATGGGTTGCCACCGCCACTTCCCACTTTTCGAACCCAACCACCACCACCCCTTCCCTTGCTTCTCCCTCCTCCGGTTCGGACCAGACCCGGTCGAACCCTTATCCACCCCCTGACCCTCCCCGCTCTTCTCGCCGGAATCCCCCTCTTGGCCGCCACTCGCTCTGAAGGTGCCACCGTGCACCCTCCGCATCCTCCACAAATCGAACCTCCCGGTATCCCTCCATACCCCCGGAAACCTAACCGGCGTCGAATAGGGGACAAAACGGCACGCGTTTTGCCTCAACGGCGTGGAGGGTTTGCGAAAGTTATGAGAATTGAGGAAAACTTTGGTGTACGTTAAGGGAGAGAGATAGAGATACTCCAACGCCGACATTGGAAGATTAATAGGACGGAGAGAGAGATAGAAATAGAGATACCCACGACGTTAAAATCGAAACTTTGAATGTCTTCTTCGCGTTCGCGTGCATTAATTTATATGGGGGTGGCTCGGAGATGATAATCCTCTGGCTTCTGATGATGATGAGTGTCAATGGTAGCGGGAGAAGGAAGAGGAAATGGGAAAGAGACAAGGTGATCCGACAGGACATGGTTGCCGTTCGATTGACCACGAGTTGAAGATCTCAACGGTCCACATTTCTTTGTTCGTATTTTGTGAAAATTAATAATGACTTGCGTTTGCGGAAGATTTTATCGTTTGATTAGTTTGTGGTGATCGTTGTGTGCGGGGGAGGAATTCAGTGCGGGAGGTTGTAGGGGAGTGCGCTTTGATGGGTTGCAAGACTGACACGTGTAGAGTGAGATAAGTAACGGTGGGCCATGGGATGATTATGTGGCGTTGTCGTGTGTCAATCCGGAACACAATTTTGGAGGCACATCCATATATTGGAGTGAGAGAGCCACAAAATAATCGGTCATGATAAAAAAAAAAAATTGATTTCTTTTTCTTATTATTTAACGAATTTTTTAAATTATTAGTTAATGAATTAAGAAATCATTTTTATACAAAAAATTCTTAATACGTTAGATAATGATGATATTAAATGTTGTGTTATGCTTCTAAGCAAGACAATATATAATATTGATTCTTTAGTTTACGTTTTTAAACTATTCGTTAACATTTTTATAACTTTTTATTTTGGTATTCTCTCGCATTTTTAATATTGCTTTTAAAATTCTTATATATCAATGTTGTAAATTATGTAATGTATGATATTTTTGTATTTTATTTGTGTTAAAATAAAAAATATAATTATAAAAAATTATATTTTAAAATTTAAATAAGATTATTCAGAATATAAAAAAATTGTAATAATTTAAAAAATTTTACATATTACAATTTTACGAAGAAGACGTTACGAAACAAGAAACGACGTGTACACTTTTTGTTGGCAGAAAAATTGAATGACAAAAGAAGAATTTTATGGTAATCAATTTATTTACAGTTTGGACTTTTTTCTCGGTTAAAAACTTGTCGTACTCTTAAGTGTTTCTGAAAAAAAAAACAAATATATATATATATATATATATATATATATATATATATATATATATATTAGATAATTTTGAATATTACATTTTTTTAATATGAATTTGAAATACCCACTTTTTTTTAAATGCATTTGAAATCCACACTTGACCTATTAAATAAATTACACTGCAGACAGAAGTGGAAGAAACTCATGAAATATATAAATTACGACACGTATCGTACAATTTTTTAAAATATATAAAGTAATTAACCCTTAAAAGAAATTTAAATCAATTAATATGACATCCTTTATATTTCAAAATATTTCTCTTGAAATATAAAAAATAATATTCTTAATAATAAGGCATATAGATAATTATTTCAAGTAAATCTAAAATAAATAAATAAATAATCTATATGATACTTGTTAGTAGAAAATCGAGAAAAACGATCGAAAATGAAGGAAAGGAAAGAGAGAACACGTGACTGATAAAAAACCATTTGATGTCTAAAGCACGTAACACAACATCAGGAAGTACAATCGAGAATTGGAGAAACAATAGTCAAAAGTTTATTGTGGAACAAATCAAGAAATTAGAAGTATATGATGCTAAGGTAAAAAAGGGATCAAAAGTAAATTCAAAGTTCTCGATAAAATCGAAGTCTAAATCGAAAAAGAGGTTAACCCACATAAAATCAAAATCGTGACCAAGAGGAGTTAAACACGCATATAGGAAACAGTTTCTAAATCGTGGCAGAAGTTAAAGATCATGGGAACGTGGATACAGTTTTGACACCACAGAAGAAGAAACTGCAACGCGCACGAAGAACGTGGTAGCAGTTTTGTTAACTGCTCCTGGAAGGCTTGAATGATGCCCTATAAATAGTGCAGAGGAGGAAGGAACAGGGGGGGCAGAAATTGGCAGAGAACAGAATCAGTAGTGAAAAGTCTACCGGAGAAACGACGAACACCATGAAGCTTCTGGCAATCTGGATTTCCTTGCTCACTGAGTACATTTACCGCTTTCTGTATTTTCCTTGGTAATTTATTTTGATGCATCTTAAATTTAGCAGTTTTATGTTTCTGTATTTTCGATTCCTTGTCCATTTCAATTCAATGAAAATTTAAGTTTATGCATTTAAGTTTCCATGTTATTTAATATTCTGCAAATCTCGATTTCATGTTATTTGTAATTGCTCTGTTTTCGATTCTCTGTCATTTACCTTTCTTGCAATCTCGATTTCTTGTCATTTACAATTAATGCAAATTTTGGGTTTTCGCACTTTATATTGCTTCGCAAATTAACATTCTGTTTTCGATTCGATAGTTTTAGTGCTTTCAATACTTTAAATACAAAATATCAAAAACAGCTTTTTCGATATCTTATGATTTTCGATTCTCATACACGTTTTCGATTGAAAATCAAATTGCTAGCCTAAGCAAAAAGAACTTACGTGGTAGAATTTTGATTAGGATCAAAACACCCTTAGAATCGAAATCGATCAAAATTTCACCAGAAACAAATTGGCGCGCCAGGTAGGGGAGTCTTGTGTTGAGAAACACAAAATTGGTTAGTTCGAAATTGTATGAGATTAAGGAGTGGGAGAGTCATGAGTCAGAGTTCATCAAATAACCAAGGTAACAGTGAGGGATTAAATGGGTCACACCCACCAAATACTGGGGGGCAAAGTCATAATGGGAACATACACGTAGTATCGACAACTGTGAGCATGTCGATACACGTGAGTAGTGAACAAAATTCGAGTACATTAGCAAACACCCAAGTAGGATCTAGTACGGTGATACCAAATAATATGCAAACTATAGGAAATCCCACGACCACATATGTAGGGCCACGTATGAGTATAAGACCACCGGGTTTTCACTTAATAATGTGAGTGGGGCTGGAACTTCTTCAACGCATAGGAATTCGAGATATAACTTAGGAATGTCCCAAACACTAGGTATGCCACAAAATTTTGGAATCCCTCCGAATTTAGGGACGTCTCAAAACTTAGTAATTCCACGAGATTCGGGGAATGGACAGAATGTAGGCACACAACGAGATACCTCCAAATCTAGATCGGAGGGATACTTAGATCATGGGAGATATGTATTCGATAGAGACTATCATCGATCTAATTTTGATTCTATCGAAAACATGGGTACCGGAATATCTAGTAATTCATTAGGGGTACTCGGACAACAAATGGATGAGAGTAATTTTGAAATGGTGAATATGTTATCACAACAATTGACTACAGTCTTAAATCCATTAGTGCAAAATACTACTGCTAGCTTTGAGATATTAGCGAGACCAAATGTCACGAATCGGGGATGCATTGGGCATGTGCCTCGACAAACGAGGATAGAAAATCATGCTAATCGGAATACTAATATTAATCCCCCATATCTATTGAGAAGAAATAGAAACAATGATCAACAACGAGCGTATGGGAAATGAGTATCAACATGTGAGGAATGATATTTATGGGAATTTGAACGAAGGATTTCAAAATATACACAATCAGAATAATATGTTGGGACAAAGGATGAATTTACAAGGGATGGAATTTAGACCACCCAATCGGACATATTTTGTGTCTCCCTTTCCGAATGCGATTCTCGAGACAGAATTGTCTCGAGGATATAAAGTACCCAAATTCACTAAATTTGCTTGGAGAAGTTGGTGAATCGACTATCGAGCATGTGGCTCGATATCGGATCGAATGCGGGATTTAGCGATGAGTGAAGAATTAAAAATGAAATATTTTCCTAGTTCTTTGACTAAGAGTGCTTTTACTTGGTTCACGTCATTGCCACCCAATTCGATATATAATTGGTCGCAATTGGAAAGAAATTTTCATGAGCAATTCTTTAGAGGAGAAACTCAAGTGAGTCTCATCGACTTGATGAATATAAAAAGATACAATCATGAAAGCATAGATGATTATTTGAATCGATTTAGACAAATGAAATCGAGATGTTTCACTCAAATTCCTGAATATGAATTAGTCAGAATGGCCTCTGCGAGGTTTAGAATTCTCGATTAGGAAAAAACTAGTCAATTTACCATTGAATGACATGGCTCAATTAGTCGATAAAGTGAGAAGAGTGGAACAAATAGAGTATGAGAAACAAAGGTATAAGAAATATGAGAAACCTTTGAAAAAGGAAAGAATAGCATACATAAATGATGTATATGAGACAAATAATATGACGAGAAAATGATATTGAAGAAAGCTGTCGATGAGAAAGTAAACTTAGCGAGAACTCAAAGTAGGGGCTCCATATACACGTAAATTGCTACAAAAGAATGAAGTAAAAGATAAAATGACAAATCGAACATATACTTTTGATGTAACAAAAGCGGACAAAATCTTTGATATTTTATTGAAAGACAAACAGATTAAGTTGAGTGATGATCATAAAGCTGCGATCTGCGAGAACAAAGGAATGGTCGAAAATATTGCAAATTTCATAATGTTTATGGACATTGGACTAACAATTGTATACATTTCAGGAACACCATCCAAGATGCGATTGACCAAGGAAGGTTGAGGTTCGAAGAAATGACAATGAAAGTTGACACGAGTCCATTCGAGGCCCAAGTTGGATACCTCGAATCCCAAACAGGCATTACTGATGATGTCCGATTAACAAATTCGGCCTTTATAGGCATGGTAGATGTCACTGAAGACATCGATCCTAAGCACGTTAGAATGGACGTGTCTGAAGAAGATATGGAATTTGACCTGAGTGAATTCGAGAGAGAGTTCGAAAAGGAAATATACCCTCGATCAGGAGATTCTCTCATTGAATTTTTGAATAGAAAAAAAGAAAAAGACGAAGATGTGTCATTATGCCCACGTTGTAATGCGGTGTTCGATAAATCGACTGCCAAAGCTTTCGAACGAAACGAGATGAAGAAGATCGAGAACCAAAATAAAAGGAAAAATGACAAAGTAGATCAAACAGTCAGACCAACGATCGAAGAAAGTCAGCAGAAATCCGTTGGCTCTGGTGTTAGTGAAAATCGGAGGCGAGTGGATTAGAAGAGAGATGTATCCTTCTCGAGGAGGAAGAGGTAGACTTCAAAGTAATGATGTTTTCGAAAGACTCTCGTATGATGATGGATCGACCACTAGATTCCCAACATTCCAAAGAAGATTCGAGGAAGGCCCTGGAGAAGAGGAGGAAGGATCCCCTATTGGAATCATTACGAAACTTTGAAGAAAATGTTGCACAGATAGAGAGTCATTATGCAAGAGAATTTTTCGATGACAAGAATGATGATACTTGGGACGAACATCAAATCGGGGTAATATCAATTTTACCTGCGGAATATGTGAGCGAATACAAAGAATACTAAGAAAAAGAGATGCTGAGCGAGAAGATGACTTCTATTCGAGAAAACATATGGCCAAAAATAACATGGGTCACACAAACCTCATGTGAAGTTCCTCATAGAGACGCTTGCTTTCATCGATCCCCCATCCGAGAAAATGAGGTTCAACTTGAAACCATTATTACTGAACATCGAGATCCAAGGACGAGATGGTGAATAGAGTCATTGTCGATGGTGGAGCGGCGGTGAATATGCTGCCAATTACTATGCTAAAGAAATTTGGCATTGAACTAAAAGACTTAGTCAAGCACAATATTATGATTTCGATTTCAGCGGAAAGACGTCAAGTTCGGAAGGTATGATTGCCTTAGACGTGAAAGTGGGCACTTACTCGAGACCTACTGTGTTTGTTGTGGTCCGAGTTGCATGCCAATTTCAATGCATTACTTGGCGAGAGAGTGGATTCATGGAGTAGGAGTTGTGCCTTCGACGGCTCATCAAAAATTATTTATGTGGAATCGAGATGGACATCTCGAAGTAATCCGAGGAGATCGGCACGAATTTGTAACATCCGTATCTCGAGCTGGTCGAGCACCTGCGAAATCTGGCGCTTGCTCAACCATTCACCTTCGAAACTGATCGAAGATTTTAATTCAAAGCTGCATGAGGAGCGTTTCCTAGAGATGAATGAGAAGAAAGGATTCATCATGATCAAAGAGCGGGCCAACCTCGAAGTGGCCGGTGAAGATGAATAGAGAATACGAAGAGTTCTTGGCTCGATTGGGAAAATATGAAGATGGGAAGAAGAGCCAAGAAAGTAGTAGTAGTAGTAAAATAGGGATAAATAAGTCGATTCACTCGACCGTAGTTGCAAATAATAACGATCAAGTTATACTTGATTGTATTTATGATTATTCTCCTTTAGGTTTCGAAAAATCTATTACATCAAATTATAAAAAAGTCGAGGCTCAAGATCCATTAGAAGAAGTTAACTTAGGAAGTAAAGAGGAACAGAAACCCACGTATATCAGCAAATATCTCGAGGAAGAATTAAAGAGGGACATGATTTCCTTGTTAAGAGAATTTAAGGACTGCTTCGCTTGGGAATACGAAGAAATGCCTGAATTGGATCGAAGTCTCGTCGAGCATAAATTACCCATCATCGAAGGTAGAAAGCCGATAAAACAAGCACCGAGAAGATTTGCACTGAGGTGATGAACAAGATCAAGGAAGAGGTCGAGAGACTCTTGAAAGCTAAATTCATCGAAGCTGCCAGGTATGTTGATTGGATTTCTAATATTGTACCTGTGATTAAAAAGAATGGTAAAATAAGAGTGTGCATCGATTATCGAGATTTAAACTTAGCTACTCCTAAAGATGAATATCCTATGCCAATAGGCGATATGCTAATAGATGCGAGTAGTTGGTAATGAAATGTTAAGTCTTTTAGATGGTTATTCGGGATATAATCAAATATTTGTGGTCGAGAATGATATAGCTAAAACGACTTTTCGATGCCAGGGGCATTAGGTACTTATGAATGGGTAGTGATGCCATTTGGATTAAAAAATCTTGGAGCCACATATCGAGAGAGCAATGAATTTAATTTTTCATGATTTGATTAATGATTTTATGCAAGTTTACATAGATGATATCGTTGTGGTATCGAAAGAAAAACATCAACATCCGAGCAATTTGAGGAAATCTTTCGAGAGAATGAGAAAATATGGATTAAAAATGAATCCCTTGAAATGTGCTT